CATAATGGTCTCATGGTTTGTGGAATGTATCAGATTATTTCTCTGTTTATATATTTTTCTTTTGATGGACACTTGGATTTTTTTTTCTGCCTTTTAGGTGTTAACAAATAGTGGTGTACTGAACATCGGTATACAGATTTGCGTTTGTGCTTTCATAGTGCTGGATGTAAGATTAGGATTGCTGTTCCTGATCTTATAATAGTTCTATGATCAGCTTTTTTAGAAACTATTTTCAGTAGTGATTGTAGCATTTTACCTTCCCATTATCCTTCTTAGTTAGTGGTTGTTAAGTGTACGTTTTGTTTTGTTTTTCTAATTTCCATTCATTAATTGTTGCACACTTTCCTCCCTGCCCAGCCCTCCCCAAGTTCACTTTTTGAAAAGTAAAAAAAGAAAAAAATAATAATCTTTCATCGTTGTACAATCGCCCCCACTCCAGTCCACTCCACTATGCAGCAGTCATTCTGGACTCTTGTCATGACATTAATACCTAATTATATATTCCTCCCTCTCCCTCATCTGTTTCAATGCAGTATACATTTTTAATCCCTTCTTGAATTCCCTCCAACTCTGATGTCAGACTCACTTTACAACAGTTGGCACTATGTGGTATATGTCCTTTTGTGACTGAGATAATTCACTCAGCATAATGTCCTACAGGATCATCCATTTTGTATAATATTTCATGAGTTCCTTGTTTTTCAGTGCAGCATAGAATTCCATTTTGTGAATGAAGTATGCTCTTTTTCTATGCTAAGGAACACGGGTGGGTTTTGTTCTTTTTTTTTTTTGCTTTAATTTTATTATAAAGTAACCTATTCTTAATATGAGAGCTCAATAGCACTAATAATAGTATGAAAGCAAGAACATTGTGTGTGCCTGTATGTAGCAGAATATAAAACTGTCTGCCAGCTCCAGAGGAGATTGCTAATCCTTATCCCCCAGATCATATGATGGATTCAAACTGCTTGCCTTTGGGTTGGTGATTTAGATGCAGCTCCTTACCATTAAGTCACTAGAGCGCACATGCGTGGCTCCCCTCCCCCCATGTGTGAATATACATACTTGTGTACAGTTGTAAATACAAACATTTGTATTAATCACATATACATAGTTATACAACTGTATGTTTACATACAGATATCTGTCCAAATAATTTTGCTTATTACTGTTGTAAAATTATGTTAGAATTTTAGCAATTATGTTCTACTTTTGAAGAATCAGTCTATCAAATTGTTTTCAGCTGTGGCTGTATCATTTTTCTTAACAGCTTGAATGAGTTTTCCTAGAGCTTTTCTTATATCTGTTATTTCCTGTTAATTTTTCATTTTTAATTTGGCCCTTTTAATAGATTATAATTGGTAAATAAGAACAATACCTTTCAAAAAAAAGAACTATTGAAGCTCTGGTGGCCTAGTGGCAGGAAGCTACATTGCAATCCCAAAGGCATGCAGTTCAAATCCACCACATGCTCCACTGGAGAAGGAGCAATCTGCTGTTTTTCCTGTCAGATATGTTTTGACAGTACACAACAAGAAAAAAAAATCATGCAGTAAAATTTTTTAAAAAAGAGAACGATCTTTTCGAGTATAAGAAATAATAATAATAAAGTAATTATTTTTTAAAAAAGAATATTCTTTGGTCTGAATCTACCGCAGGAGTGCGGAGCATTTGTGGAGTCCATTAGCGCCTGTGGGTGAGATGTACCACGCCCACCTGTCCGTCTACCTGCATCCCCCCAACACGTCTCTCTCTCTCTGAGGAACGTGGCTAATGACACCAGGTTTGAAGATTAACATTGAGAATTTGGTCACTATGGTTCTATAGTTAACTGATGTGTATTTTCCACTTGATTTCTACACTCGAAATCCAAGAGATTTGCTTAATGTTCAATTTGAGGATGTTCGTGATACTGAAGGTACTTTACATGACTTGGACAGAAAATGGATTTGTGGATGTCAAATTGAAATCCATTTTGCACAGAATGATAGGAAGACACCAAATCAGATGAAAGCCAAGGAGGGGAAGTATGTGTATACTTCTTCATGCTATGATGACTAATGACAGATACAGATGTTGTAGAAGCTAAAGTTAGGAAAGAAGGAGATCAAGGAGTCGGCCTTTTGATTACAAGTATAGACAACCTTATGGTACTAGAAATAGTACACCGACTGGAAGACCACAACAATAGCAGGAGGCTTTCCAACTATGATAGCCAAGTAAGCAAGAAGAAAAAGGCCAGAGAATGTGTCAGTGAGAAAGTAGAGGTGCTATATAGACTATGAGCTGGTAAGTTAAAACCCAAGAAAAAGACCTGGGAACTATTCTATTTTGTCCTGAGAATTTGGCCCAGTAAGTTGCTGTATCCAGTTCAACCAACAAAATCTTGTATACTACAGAGAATAATAAATCCAAACTGGCAAACATCCTTTTGTTGAAGACCAAACTGCACCTGGAATAACCCAGGACAGCTCTTCTTACTACAATTAAAGATATGAGAAAGGAGAAAAAGAACCAAAGAAGGGCTGTTCAAGTGACCAAAGGGTGGGTGGGAGATGCCGCAGTATGAATACGGTATGAATATTTGGGCTCTGGTCTGAAAAGATAAAAGAATGTTACTGAAAACTACATGGAATAATTGATGTACCTTAAGTTTGAAAGTATTCATTTTAGGACAAATAAAAGGAAATTCAACTTTGTACTTGTGAAAACTAATCCCTAAGTATGTATAGGTTTCTATTGAGTCATGAATAAAAGGCCCATAATAGATTACTGAAAACTAGGATGTCTGAATATTAAGAAAGACAGCTATAGTCTCTTACAGTGCCTCTGTTGGTCTTTCTCAAACTGAATTGGATGGGAAAATGTATGGTCCAGTATCAACTTTCTTGGTTGTCAGTGCCTTTTTTGTTATTGACAGATTTTGCCTTTGTGTATTTTAGTGCTAGTGTTCTGGCTTCATTGTTTGCTTTGTTGGAATCATGAGCTTATTGTACACCATATGCTGTTTACCTCTTAAACGACTCTGTTCCAAGTATAATACTTGACAGCCAGCCAAGAGAATCTTCTCAAACCTTTAAGCCCTTAGTGTGGGCAGAACATTGTCCTGGGTAACTGGGGAGAAAAGTAGATGTTCATTTATTCATTTAATGTCTACTGAGCACAATTTACTAAAGTCATTACGGTATGGCCTCATTGTTGTGTTTGAGGTATCTTCTTGACTATTTTACACCATTCATCCTAATGTAATTGTAAATCCAGATATGCTATCAAAGATAAGTAATTTTTGTGGTTATCTGCCATTTAAAAATACCTAGTTTTGGGGGTTTTTGGTTTTTTTTTTTGCATCCCATTAATACACATAATGAGAAATGATTTGTTTTAATCTGTAATAAACTGATTTATTGTGCAGAGACTGATATACTAGAGTTAAATTGTTAACTCCACCTCTTCAAACACATATTAGGAAATAATCCCCAAAATAAGTATTTAATTTTGCCTTAGATATAAAGGAGAGTCTGGGTGCTAAAATTAGATTACTTTGAGGCAGATAGCTGTGCTGATTTAGTATGTTCTGTAATTGAGAAAATGTTCACCAAATTTCCTTTTTAGTGATTTACATGTACATTTTATAGGGGACATGTTCTATGTATAGTGCATAAATAACTTTTAGTATTAAAAAAAGAATATACTTTGAATCCACACACTTTTGTGAGAAATCTTCTTTAAGACCAAGTATCAAAATAAATTGGACTCTGTTTTATTAAATAAAATAGAAATTATTTAAAAATAATGATTCCTTTTTTCATTCATTCTTTAAAAGAAATAGAAGTCCATGCTTTACTGGTAAAAGGTGGATATATGTTCAGACATGTTTAAAGACCTCTAAGCCAGTTGCTATAGTCTTTTTCTTTGAACATGGCAATAAAATTTATGGTGAGGTTTTTGTTTGTGATCCTTGTCACTATTAATGGACCCTGGCTGTTCTTGTTTATATTCTCATTTCTTGTTCTGGAGTAATTAAGGAGTTACATACTGACAGTAGGAACCCTTTTTTTTTACATTTTTCCGTTTTTCCATTTTCAGCAAAGTAGTTTGAGGTGGATTGATTCAGTGACTAAGGTAATGGGGTGGATGTGTCTGAGATTGTGCGACTGGCACAGTACAGAGCAGGGTTTAGGGATGTTGTACATAGGGTCGCTAGGAGTCACAAGCAACTAGACAGGACATAACAATAACAGTTTAATTCAGCTAGTATGTTTTCTGAAATTTTCTTTGAGGCAGGAGCAAAGATGTACAGATATGTTAGATACTGGAAGCTGTCATGTATTTTGTTGTCATCAAGTCAAATCCAACTCACAGTCCGATGCTACAAAGTAGTTCTGACCCATAATATTTTCTGGGCCTTCATTGCAAAGGTCACTAAGGATTCTCTGTATGGATTTTAACTGTAAACTTTTCAAATAGCTGCTGCATACGTACCTCCTGCCACTAGGGTTTCTTGAGAGCTATCATTTGTGCTTTTAGAATGTTCTTTTCCAGCATACCATTTTGCCAATGATTCTGCCAGTGATTTAATTTAGACGGTTTTAATTAAGGCCCAAGCGTTGAGGACTCTCCTTCATAGGGTTGCTATGAGTCACCTGCGACTCGACGGCGCTTAACAAAATTGATTAAGGATTATTATAAAACTGCATTATTTCATCTTAGAGAAATAAGTCAGTTTTCTGAGAGTCTGGAGCAAAATCTCTGAAAAATTCTTTGCCTCTTTGTTCTCTCATTGATAACTTTAAGCTATCTTTAGAAATTAAAATTACTTGATAATTCTGTAAATTATAAGAAAAGTAGTGGGAACAGGGAAGATTAACATCACATTCTTCTAGTTTGTATGCCATGGAACAGATAAGTGAGAATTAAACTCTTACAGATTGTTTGCTTACCTTTTTATTAAGCAATCTCCCTAAAGAAGTATCAATAAAATGTTTTTTTAATTCTTTTAGGTAGGTAGCCATCCAAGCTTCCTGAAAGAGGTTCGCGATCACATGCAGGACTCTTTCTTAATGCAGCCAGAGGTAAGCAGGAATGTAGTCGGGATGAATTAAGGTCCCAGTAATTTTAAGCTTTGCTACTGTCATTTTTATATATCTGGAAAATATTTTGCATTTTGAGTTATACTGAAACTTCTGAACTTAAAATATTTGGGATTGAATGTTTTCTTTATGTATTTGGTTTTGTATCTTAGGCTGAAAACAAACCTTGTATTTTAGTTACAGTTTATATGTGAGCATTTTTTAGTGGTATGTTGCTGTTTTGAGGAAGTTCTTAGAGAACATTTTAAAGTTATTTTGGTACTCAGTCCACAGCATGCATTTAATGAGGTATAAAAGCTCTTTTACAAAATAATATTACTGGTAAAATATATATAACAAAACTTTTACTATTTTAAGTGATAGTCATATTTACTGAGTTGTCCAAACCACTATTTCCAAAAATTGTATGCCCTCTAAAAAGATTAATGCAACACTTCTTTAGCAAAATCTCCTAGAATATTTTTCCCTGATTATCATTAACAAACCTTATTCTATGCTTTTTCTATACTAGTTGGTTCATATAAGTGGAGTAATAACAAAATAGGTCTCCTTATGTTTCGTTTATTTCTCTTAGCCTCATTTTCAAGATTCTTTGTCTTACAGGCATTAGACCTTCTTTTCTCCTTATGGCTTATCTTTCTATGCTTTTCTGTCTAGTCTTTCTTTGGTGATGTTTTGCTGTGATTCGCTAATTGTACATTTACTCTCCCTGCACACATCTCAGTGTGTGACTATTATCTGTTTAGTAATTTTTACTACTCTGTCAATCCCATCTCATAGTTGGTGGTCCCCAAAAATGGTTTTATGTTTATATAAACTTTAATAATAGTGGCCTTATATGATACTTTTTTTAATGTTGTTTCTGTTGCTTTACTATTGTACATTATGCTGCAGTGAAAACAAGTGTTCATACATCTTGTCATGTATGAA